ATTTAGGGCTGCACGATAAATCGAAATGGAATCGAGATCGCGATCGCGATGCGACAGAAGTTGTGATTGTCATGCGTATCTTTCAGTGAAGCACGGTTCTGTGATCAGCAGTAAATCTCCATCCAAAGGCCAGAGGGCGCTCTCGCGCTGAAACTCCAAATACACCCCGCAGAAGAAACCCAGAAAAGATTCAACTGCTTTCATTGATTCAACATGACTAATAAACACACGACTATGGCAATATACGGTTTATCAGAGTTCTTAATATTATAATTTTCATTAAAATAAATTATATTTATAATGCAATGCCTTTATCACTGCTTAAATACTATGAAATATGTTGCGTGCCTTATTCTGTGTAAGAAGCCACATCATCTCACAGAAGGATTTATTTCAAACACTCGACTGACGTTATGAAGTGAGTTTGGAGTAAAAAATATGTTATTAAATGTGGTATTTTCACATGCTTTCAGATGGAGCAGCATTTTTACTTCAGAGCCGTAGTTCACTGAGAAGCTATGCAAACAGCTGTCATTATCGCGAACGATTTTTTCGATTTCATAATCGCGCAATAAAATCATCTGCGATTTCTTTTGCGTAAGTTGTCAGTGAACTACGGCTATATGTAGTAAATTCTGCTCCATCTGAAAGTACGTGATGATGATTTCCTGCTGATTACAGAACCGACTTTTTAAACAAAATGCGCATGACAATCGCATTCGATTTATCGTGCAGCCCTAATTTTTATTACCTTGAAACAATCTTAAAGGAACAGTTCGCGCAAAAATTAACATTTGCTGAAAGTTTACTCACCCTCAGGCCATCCTAGATGAGTTTCTGTTTCTTCATCGAAACCGATTTGGGGAAATTTAGTATTACATCACTTGCTCAGCAGTGGATCCACTGCAGTGAATGGGTGCCGTCAGAATGAGAGTCCAAACAGCTAATAAAGGCATTACTATAATCCAGTCTATCAGTTAATGTCTTGTGAAGTGAAAAGCTATGTAGCAAATCCTTCATTACAACGTTTTTATCTTCAAACCGTAATCCATAATAACGCTTCTTCCAGTGAAAAAGTATCGTCTCAATCATCTCGTCTGAATATGTTGGTGGATTTTGATGTGAGAGGACAACAGGGGATACAGTATTTCACTGCAGGAAGGGATATTATGGATTATGGACTCGTTATAAATCCTTAATGATGGATTTGTTTTATTGCAAACACACAGCTTTACACTTCACAAGATGTAAATTTAAGAACTGGAGTTGTGTAGATTGCTTGTGGATTATTGTGATGTTTTTATCTACTGTTTGGTCTCATTCTGACGGCACCCATTCACTGCAGAGGAACCACTGGTGAGCAAGTGATGCAATGCTAAATTTCTCCAAATCTGTTCCAATGAAGAGAACTCATCTACATTTTGGATGGTCTGAGGCTGAGGAAATTTTCAGCACATTTTCATTTTTGGGTGAACTATTCTGCTGTGCAAAGGCAAAAGACCGTAACTTTCAAAATGAGTTGTTGATATTTTTGAGACATTCAAGACCTCCTTTATCATGTGGATAAGTATCCCAATGAAGAGAACTCATCTACATTTTGGATGGTCTGAGGCTGAGGAAATTTTCAGCACATTTTCATTTTTGGGTGAACTATTCTGCTGTGCAAAGGCAAAAGACCGTAACTTCGTTTTTGGTTTCAAAATGAGTTGTTGATATTTTTGAGACATTCAAGACCTCCTTTATCATGTGGATAAGTATCTTGAGTCAATTCCGTTGTTTTTTTTCCGAGAAAATAATGGGTTATCTTAACAGTAACTTCGAAAAGCTCAGGAGAAAACTAGGCAGAACACCGTATAACTCCAGTTACTGCTCTTTGACTTTGCTTTAGAACGCTCAAATTGAGTTACAGTGTTCTGCCTTTGTTTAGCCGTGCGTCAATATGAAGTTACTGTGCTGGCCTGGAGTTATACGGTATTCTGCCTTTGTTTTACTGTTCATTAAAGTCTGCCGCATTTAAATTACAGTGTAGCTTGTGTTATTTCATACATCTATCTAATTCGTTTGTCCAAAAAATTGTAGACAGATCGCGATCTACCAAACTGCTCCATATAACAAAGCACTGTAAACAAGCAAAGACTAGATAACTTGGCTACAATAATTAATTGTAAATAATATTTTTCTTTCTTTTTATAATGCAGATTATTGTTAGTGCCAGCATGTCAGTCTGGGGCTGCCCACTTCTGCACGCGCGTGGACTCGAACGCCGTGACAGCATAGCATGATCACATAAAATCAGTAGAGTTCGCAATTAAATCCATATCCTACCTTTTCTTGTAACCCGATAAAATCCATGGCAATGAACGTCATCGGAGATGTTTAATCCACAAGCATTCTGAGCATTATTCCTACTTGTTGGCGTTCACATCAATCCACAAGTCGTTCTTTTAGTTGGGCTATTTTCATTCAATTAGATGTAAAAGCAATAGGTTAAGTATGTCTTGCATCCTTTAACGTTAGTGAACATTGCAAATACATTGGTTGCAAAACGGTATCCACTCACGTTTAACTTTTTATCTGATTGTTACGATCAGAAAAAAAAATAATAGTCACATTACTGTATGTTATAGCCTACGAGACAGCCCATGATCACTAGATTTTATACAGGTGTTACTGCCTTTTTCCTTGGCGTGTCTTCTCACTATTTGCAGACAATGCAAAGGCAGAGTACAGTAACTTCAAAATAGGAGTAAAAATCAAGTTTGAGCTCCAAATTTTTTATGTAGATAATTTACTAAAATATCTAACTGCCAGATTTTCAGTGTCCTACCTATAATTAATTTGTCTGGACAGATACAAATCTTTAAAGTCAGCATTCATTTAAGTATAATAAAAGAAATAATAAATAATAAAAAAAACACCTTGATATTTTGTTTTTATTTTATGTTTCCCAAAATGACCCAAAATATCAAAATGAGATCTAATATAGAAGAACATTGAAGATATCATTGAAGAGGTGTACAAAATATGTATTTTTGAATAAACTAATAGACCCTATTCTCTTTTCTCATGGCAGCATTGATGGCATGGTGAAGGTGAAAAATTTGAGGAAGAGGATGGAGAAATTCAATGAAGCTGTGATTGGACTCAAAGAGGGAAAACAAGAAGTGAGCAAACAGGTTGAGGAACTGGCCGCCTCCACCGACGCCCTCATGACCAAAATCAAGGTGAGGTTTTCCACTGGAAAACCGCCCAAGGTCGTCAAACCCCTTTTCACCTCCTTCAGCTCACAAAGCACAATGATGTTACATGGTGTAGCTCTTTTCTTAGTCTGCTGTCGTGTATCGGTTTCCATGCATAATTCAACAGGTGTGTGTTTTTCCATGTCCTGATGAAGGCGGTCTAAAGCTGTGACTAGAATTGTCTGCCAGCTTCAAGTGTCTCTCTTCTTAAGTTCTTAGGGCCCAAAGAAAGAGCAGAAGCGTTTCATCTCATTCAGCAGAAAATCTAGCACTCAACAACAGAGTAAATAAATACAAAGTATGCAAATCGACAGTCGACAATGAGATTTCTGTCTGCAGATCATCATTGACATTCGCACCACACGCTGTCAAGTCGATTTTCAAGGCTTTGCCGCATTATGCCGTTTCTAGTGTTGATTTCTTGCCTTCCTCCGAACTTTCTGCTTTGGCTGATTGAATGCAGTATATGCATTGTTGTATTCTCTACGTGGAGCCCAACCTCATCTGTCAGACTCGGAGTGCATTATTGACAGGGAGCTCGAGAGACATTGCGCCCTCTCCCTGATAGATAGCTGGCACCAGAGCTGAAACTTTTCTACCTGAACATTCTGTTCCTCCCTTTAAATGAGATGCGCTCTGCACTTCTGCACCCGTGATATCCCTCTTTGTTATTAGCATAGCACGTTTTGATTAGCATGTGGTTTTTGATTGGCAATGCCTCCTATTATCTTACCATCTGGACTGGAGATGACTGTGGCCTCCCTGGCTAATAACGTAGATTGTTCTATCAATGGCTGTCATTCAACACACTAGCGCTAACTCATCTAGCGTTAGGGGGTGAGACGGACCTTGTCATTGAGTCCCCACCCCTCTGCGGTACAATGATCATTCACAATGCTTGCACCCCTCCACGCACCTCTGGTGCTCTGCCAGATGGCACAAAATCCACATCCAGGTTTAATGAATATCTGCAGGATATTAAAACAACTGCGGTGAATGTGGCCCAGCGTCACCGCTGTCGCCGAGCTGATGGGTAACCACTGAGTTGCTGCCACTTTCTTGTGAAACCCTTGTTCAAGTTTGTTTAATGAAGCACCAGAAGAAAAGCTTTTTAAAGAAGCTACTGTAGAGTTCAACCAAGTGGCCTATCCTGTCATCATTTGTCATCATTTACTCACCCTTATATTATTCCAGCCTCTTATTATTACAAAAGGAGATATTTAGGCAGAATGTGCAAGCTTCTGTTTTCCATACAACAAAAGTGGATAGTGATTTATGCTGTCAAGCTTTAAAAAGTATACAAGCTTCTGTTTTCCATGCAACAAATGTGGATAGTGATTTATGCTGTCAAGCTTTAAAAAGTATACAGTATAAAAATAAGTCAAATATACAACTGACAAACACTAAGACCTCTCGTGATAAACAATAACCAACAGATCAAACTGAAGATGTTATTCACTGAAAATCTTCCCCTCACTTTGAAAATCTCATTTGCAGTCATGTTTTTAAATACATATGGAAATCAATGGTGTTTGCCATCAGTGATGTCAAACCTGCCTTGACATGTCCAACAGCATTATTATCTAGTTGCAAACAAGCTCAAGTGACAACACTTTTGGTGAGTAACAGGAACAATTTGTTGTTCACAAAAAACTATTGTATTGTTAGGGAACACAGTTTTACCCCATAAGACAAATAAGTTTCAATGAAGAACAGGAGTCAAGTTAAAAGTTTACTGAAGTCAGAGTTCTCCACACTTTCAAAAGCCATAGAAAATGAGTAATCTAGCCTCTAATTTAGAATACAGAAACACTAGTATTATAGGCATATACAGTGGGTACGGAAAGTATTCAGACCCCCTTAAATTTTTCACTCTTTGTTATATTGCAGCCATTTGCTAAAATCATTTAAGTTAATTTTTTTCCCTCATTAATGTACACACAGCACCCCATATTGACAGAAAAACACAGAATTGTTGACATCTTTGCAGATTTATTAAAAAAGAAAAACTGAAAAATGCTCAGTATTTAGTAGAAGCACCCTTTTGATCTAATACAGCCATGAGTCTTTTTGGGAAAGATGCAACAAGTTTTTCACACATGGATTTGGGGATCCTCTGCCATTCCTCCTTGCAAATCCTCTCCAGTTCTGTCAGGTTGGACGGTAAACGTTGGTGGACAGCCATTTTTAGGTCTCTCCAGAGATGCTCAACTGGGTTTAAGTCAGGGCTCTGGCTGGCCCATTCAAGAACAGTCACAGAGTTGTTGTGAAGCCACTCCTTCGTTATTTTAGCTGTGTGCTTAGGGTCATTGTCTTGTTGGAAGGTAAACCTTAGTTCCAGTCTGAGGTCCTGAGCACTCTGGAGAAGGTTTTCGTCCAGGATATCCCTGTACTTGGCCGCATTCATCTTTCCCTCGATTGCAACCAGTCGTCCTGTCCCTGCAGCTGAAAAACACCCCCACAGCATGATGCTGCCACCACCATGCTTCACTGTTGGGACAGGTGATGAGCAGTGCCTGGTTTTCTCCACACATACCGCTTAGAATTAAGGCCAAAAAGTTCTATCTTGGTCTCATCAGACCAGAGAATCTTATTTCTCACCATCTTGGAGTCCTTCAGGTGTTTTTTTAGCAAACTCCATGCCGGCTTTCATGTGTCTTGCACTGAGGAGAGGCTTCCGTCGGGCCACTCTGCCATAAAGCCCCGACTGGTGGAGGGCTGCAGTGATGGTTGACTTTCTACAACTTTCTCCCATCCCCCGACTGCATCTCTGGAGCTCAGCCACAGTGATCTTTGGGTTCTTCTTTACCTCTCTCACCAAGGCTCTTCTCCCCCGATAGCTCAGTTTGGCCGGACGGCCAGCTCTAGGAAGGGTTCTGGTCATCCCAAACGTCTTCCATTTAAGGATTATGGAGGCCACCGTGCTCTTAGGAACCTTAAGTGCAGCAGAAATTTTTCTGTAACCTTGGCCAGATCTGTGCCTTGCCACAATTCTGTCTCTGAGCTCTTCAGGCAATTCCTTTGACCTCATGATTCTCATTTGCTCTGACATGCACTGTGAGCTGTAAGGTCTTATATAGACAGGTGTGTGGCTTTCCTAATCAAGTCCAATCAGTATAATCAAACACAGCTGGACTCAAATGAAGGTGTAGAACCATCTCAAGGATGATCAGAAGAAATGGACAGCACCTGAGTTAAATATATGAGTGTCACAGCAAAGGGTCTGAATACTTAAGACCATGTGATATTTCAGTTTTTCTTTTTTAATAAATCTGCAAAAATGTCAACAATTCTGTGTTTTTCTGTCAATATGGGGTGCTATGTGTACATTAATGAGGAAAAAAAATGAACTTAAATGATTTTAGCAAATGGCTGCAATATAACAAAAAGTGAAAAATTTAAGGGGGTCTGAATACTTTCCGTACCCACTGTAAATAACTTGCCCTAAGGGCAAGTTATTTGTTTTTCAATTTTTTATTTATTATTTATTTATTTTTGCCCTACGGGCAAGTTATTTATTTTTCATTGGCTCAAGTTAAAAAAATATAGATGTGAATCATTACCAAAAAAATTTTTTAATTGGATGAATGAAACATTTTTTTCAGTGTA